TGCAGTACACTGCCTTGCATGGTTTCGCATTGCTTTGCAATACCTTGCATTGCTTTGCGTTGCGCCGCGCTGCAATGAGGGGCCTGCATTTGTCCAAGCATCAACAATGTGTCTGATCAACTCCGCCACCGTCTTCGCGCGCTGGCACGCTCTCGGACGCGAGACCCGCGAGTATATACTCGATAACATCTGAGCTGGATCCCCTTTGGAACGCGGAGCCGAGACGACGCGGAGCAAGGGGGGAGTGGAGGGTGGGAAGTTTGAGCAGATATATAATGGAATACCAAGGAGCGGATTCATGTCGTCATTTGGCCCCTCAAACCCGCGCCCGTCTGCATACCCCGCACTAACATGAGAGGCCTGCATTTTTCCAATCATCAGTAATGTGTCTAATCAACTTCGCCACCGTTTTCACGCGCTGGCACACTCTCGGACGTGAGACCCGTGAGTATTTACTCGATGACATCTGAGCTGGATCCCAAATCGTCCCAAGAAGGAAGTAAGCTTAGGAGTTGATGGAATAGGAGTAGGCACGGTTATAGACCGCGGTACTGTATTGGATTTTGGCCAGGAGCTGAGACAAATGGGGTGGGTATGTTTGGGCTTGGGATGTCATTCGTTTACCCTCGAGCTCCAGGTGCCGTTTTCCTGAAAAACTGAAAACGCCGCGACCATGGCATATGCGCTGGTCGCGCAAAGAGATATCGGCATGGTCGCAATTGCCGAACATCAGCTTGGTGCGCTTGCGCCACGGGGTCCCAATAGCACACTGGTCAATTATCTTTACATGCACCTTCGGGTCGTTCGCGAGCTTCACCAGAGGGCTCTCCCAAGACGTGAATATACCGAATAAGCTTGAGGATCCGCTGGGCCTAGAGGTTTCCTGTTTGGAAAGCTTCCAGATTCTTGTCCGAGAAGGGCTCGACGGGCTTCGAGACTCCCCAGGGCTCCGACCGCGAACGAATGCCGTTGGTCCTGTGACGCGCGATACCCCAAGACCGGCACTCTATGGCTATCATCACTGCGATCAACTCCTTGGCTTTAGCCTCTGCACAGAGCAGACTGGCATTCTTCAGGAATGTGAAATCCAGATTCTCCGAAATAGACTTGTCCCACAATCTGACCCGAATTCCGCACCTGCCCGCCGCTCGGCCCACTCCGCCGGCACCGCCGAACAGATCTGATAGATACGGCGTCGCTGCTTTGTGGCCGAGCACGCGACGGCGGGAGGTGCGATGGCCGAAGGCTCGATCTGGCCAGACAAGAGGGGCCCGAGCTGGAGTTCGCACCTTCTCACGCGCGACGCCAAGGAGACGGGCGGCGCGCCGATGCTCTCGACGATCTTCGCTTTGCTGTCGCACCTCAAGACTGACTTGTCCGCCTTCCACCTTCCTCTGCCTTTGGTCTCCGCTTGGGTCCGATGCTTCGTGGCGGCGTCTATTGGGGCGCCTGAATGCCTCGCATGATAAGGCGCGGCTGTCACTCCCGGCTTTTGGCAGGCGGCCCGGAACTGGCGAGCGCAGTTGCCGCAGCGGAAGTCGAACACCTTGGATTTTAGGTCGCCGGCCCGCAGGACCGCAATGACCGTCGGGAGGTAAGGCGCCCAACTGCAGCTGAGGTCGATGCCCTCGTCCGTCGCGCACGTCTTGGATGATTGCCCTCTCCCCCGGCGGAAGACGACGCGGATCCACGAGGCAGAGAGTCCGCGAGCAGGGGCACGTAGATCCCCCCTCAACAGCTTCAGCGGCCCGGACGGCCTCACGTAGGTCACCGCCATGAACAGCGTGCACACCGCCATGTTCCAGTAGTTGGCACGGCAGGGCTCCCAGATGATGGCCGACCAGATGCTCGAGGCCAGGGGGCGACGCGATCGCAGCGGACAACGGCGCCTCCATCCTTTGAACGCTCGATAGCATCGGGAAAGATACAGGTTACCGCGCCGCCCGAACTCGGGCAGGAAGTGTTCAAGCCCGGCCACCAGCTCCTCGCCCTCGTCCAGGTTCTTGCCTTGGGCGAAGGGCTCTTGAAGCTGCCGCGCCACCGACGCGCCCAACCCTGGCAGCCGCAGCGAGAGGCTCGCCCAGCTCGCGGGCCCGGGCCCGCCAAGTGATCGCCGCCTCATGGTAGTCGATCGCGGTCTGCGCCTGGGCTGCACTGGACTTCAGCGGCAGAAGACCGAGCCCATGGAGACGGCCGGGCTCGACTGGTCGACGAGCCTGACGGACCTGCGGAGACGCTAGCGCGCGAGCGCTGCGGGCTGGCCGCGCCCGAACCTTCGCGGTCTCCGAGGTCCCGTCGCTCTCCTCGCACTTCTCGGTCGCCGCCTCGTCGCTCAGGTCGTCGAAGGCCATGGGGTCCTGGTCCGTCGGGGAGCGCTTGATCCGCGTCGTCCACTCGCTTCCCGGAGCCAGGTGGCGAGCTCGCGTAGAGCGGCTTGCCGACGGCGCCGACGAGACGGCCACCAGGTTCCTCGAGGCCACAGGCGCCGTCGGAGTCGTCGTCGACCCCGCGGGCAGGCGCCCTGCCCGAGCCTTCGCCCGCGGCACGGCAGGGGCTGGACCCAGGGCCGGGCCCCTCGGCATCACATTTGGACGCGCGTGGAGAGGGCCCGGGATCGCCGGCGCAGTGAAGGTCAGCAGGTGAGCCCACATGTTCTTCTGAGAAACGCCGAGAAGGTTCATCTGCTGCGTTCCATGCAGAGGGCGTCCAGCGGAAGCAGACGCGCAGCCCCAGGGACAGACACCAAGCTCCCATACGCCTCACACACGTAAGGGCCCTGAAATCGGCAGTGCGTCCTCGGGCGAACGCCAGGCACACCCCCATGTTGTCATACAAGAAGAGCACCCGCGCGTTCCTGATCTCACGTTCGCCCACCGCCGCCTGGAACCCCAAAAGCAAAGCTCTGGCCTCCAAGGTAAAGATGCCCTCATCGAAGCACCTCCGGGGGCCAGCCGCATGGGCACTCCAGCAGGCCTCCGAAAGCAGCTTGCAGGGCACCTCAGGGAACCTCGTGTCAACGTCGCAGGGCTGATCGAGATCGTCGAACTCGTCATCAGACCCCAGCTCCTCCAGGCCCCCGAAAAACCCCGCCCGAGCCGAAACTCCAGGAAGCTTGCGAGAGCGACCTCTCTCCAAGACCCTTCCCGCTCGCGCGACCTCCTCGGGGTCCCACTCCGACATCGCGGCACCGAAGCCTTCTTCCGACGCATCTGTCGCCACCGCGCTAGGGCTCCAGGGCAAGGTCCAGGAGGCATCCATCAAGAACAAGAGGGGGGACGAGGTCAACATCTCCTGACGAGCTGTACTCCACAAAGGCATAGGAAGAGAGAAAAAAAAAAAAAAAAAAAAAAAAAAAAAAAAAAAAAAAAAAAAAAAAAAAAAAAAAAAAAAAAAAAAAAAAAAAAAAAAAAAAAAACGCCAGATTACCCGACATCACTTCCCACACTCGTCCGGGAAGCCTCTGACACGACAAGGCACGCAGAACACCCTGCCGCACTTTCCACAAACTGGCGGGCGCGAGCGCAACTCCGAGCCCTTCGAGATCAAGATGAGCCCCCAAGGCCTTCGACGAGGTCACGCTCGCGTCGCGCCCGTGAGTCACCAATTCCACCCTCTCGAATTGGCCTGCCGCGTCGGACCGGATGGACGACGCGAAGGAGGGGTCGCGCCAGAGGACGCCGAGGTTGTCAGCATAGATATAGCGGCAGACACCGGAGCCCTTCAAGACAGCCCCTCCTCCTTAAGCCCCTCACTCTCCACGAACCTGAGCGCCCCGGGCCTCCCGCGATCTCGGAGCTATATCGATTCTCGGAGACCCGGGACTCCAGCCATGCGCTGCCCCCCCGCTCGCAGCCTGGAATGGTTCGTCGATGCGCTTCCTGAACCATCAGACTTTGCTGCTGCTCCCTCTATCCCTCCCTCTATCGGGCTCTGGGGGCACCTCTTTATGGACGGCTCATGCCGTCGCCATGCAGTGCGTGAGCTCTCCAGGGCCGGCTGGGCCGCTGTCATGGTTTCGAGTTCGGGCGAGCGCCTCGGGGTTTTGAAAGGTCCTTTGTGGGCTCCGTGGCCTCAGACCCCCCAGGGATCGGAGCTTGGGGCCCCGGCCTGGACCGCTGTTCAAACCGAGGGCCCCGCTATGTGCTATTCTGATTGTGCTAATGTTGTTTATTTAATGAATCTTGGTGCTGCTGACGGCATTAGCGCCAAGCGACAGCACGCTGGTCAAATCATTCAGGCCAGGCATTATTTCGGTCCCAACCTTATCTCGTTAGCTAAGGTTGATGCCCACAAAGATGTTGACGAGGAAGGGCTCTCTGCGCATGAGAGATTATTGCGAAGAGGGAACTTCTACGCTGACGTCTATGCCAAGGAGGGTGCTAGTCAGCACCCTGAGATGACTCCTACTGAGCAGGAGGCTCTCGACCATCAGATCAAGGTTTCGAGGGCGACCTTGCTGGCTGGAGCGGAGCTCTTGCCACTTTGGCCGAAGCTGGAGTTTCAAGGTCTGCCGCGTATCCCACCGCCGCCTGGCCCTGTTGCTCCCGTTTTAGAGCTCGTCCACGACTGGTCCCAACAAGGTTCCTCCTGGCGGTGTCGCGTGCGTCTTCGGGGTTCCCGCGCGAAGTCCAAGCCGTTTGGAGGGCCGCGCCCTGGGCATTCCCGTTTGGACCAGGGATTGTTGGAGAGACTGGGCCACCGAGTCATTGCCTTCCCTTGCAGTAACAGGGGCCACCTGTTCTTGTGCATGACGTGCAAGTTTTATTCTAGCGGTGAAAAGGTCCTTGGTTTGTCCCGTAAGTGCGGGCCCCCTACGGAGGCTGGTTTCAGAAACTTGAGACGGCTCCGTAGAGGACAGCACCCTGATAAGAAGGGTGTTTCGGTCGATATCGACGAATTCATCCCGCTAGTGTAAATTGCAGGTCAATTTGCCTCGCCTTCAGTGCGCCTCTGGCTGACTGTGCAGGGATTCGTCATTATCAGGGGCATGAACGTTGCAGTCAAAAAGAAGTGTCAACCTGGTCGTGGACCCCCAAGATGGACCCACAAAAAAAAAAAAACAAACGACTCGCTCCTGGGACGACCCGGCTGGAAGGAGCGCCGCCAGGCCAATGCGCAGAAGCGCCCGCATCAGTCGCAGAAACTTGCGACGGCTGCGAGCGAGCACGGGGTCCCAATAGGGGTTCATAGGGGGCGGCGACTCCTGCCGCTCCAAAAAATCCGAAGGGGTGCGCAGCATGCGCCGGTAGTTCTGCTCCAAAAACTGGCGCGCCACTGCGCCCACAACCTCGTGCACCACCGGGGCGCCCTCGAGGCTGTCAGGAAGGCTCGCAGAGGCAACATTGGAGAAGGTCGTGTCCACCAGGCTCTGCATCGTACACAGCTCAAAGGCGCAGCAGCTCAAGGAAAGCCGCTCGCCGGCTAGGGGTCGCGACGTCCGGAGTCAAAAGGGGTGAGATCCTACCTCGAACGCGCGCATGAACACTAGCCTGCTCGGGGGTCCGAGGGGGCCCATACTCGGCCTGGCGTCAGCCCCCCGCCATCCAATTCAAAGCATTCACGGCTGCGTTGACATCAGCATTCAGTCGCCTCGCAGGCCGGAAGCCTGGCGGCCACGCCCACTCGGGGCGGCCGGCGCGGGCGAAAGAGGGATAGGGCAAAAGGGCAGAATGGCGGCGCGCATCGCGCGCTCGTCGCGCGCCGCCTGGCCTGGGCCTCCAGCGCCGAGTCGACCAGTCTCAGCGCCGGCCCAGCCCATCACCCCGGCGGGACCTTCCCGCCCGCCCTGGCGCCGGCGCCCTGCTGGGGCCGCCCGCGCCCCCCCCCTTCATCTCGCCCTTCAGTTAGTTCACCGCCGCGACCTCTGGGGCCGCCCCCAGCCAGCACAGGATGGGCGACCTCGCCACTGCCCGTCGGCGCCACACCCCGCGCCTTCAGCCGCATGTTCTCGATATCCACCTCCCCCTTGGCACGGCGGCGGGCATGGGAGCGAAGCTCGGGCGGGGCCACCGAAGCCGCAGTGGAGGCGGTCGTGAAATGCTTCACCCCCTTCCCAGTTGGCACGCCCAGGAACTCCAATCGAGTGGGCCTCGATGGTCTGGCAGACACGTCTCGAGACCGCCGCGACGCGCGCCAAGGAGAGCCTGTTCACCTGGTCGTGGCAGCCGCTCAGGTGCAAAATGTCGAGCAGCAGCTTCACCTCGATGCCGATGCGCCCCTGGGGACTCACACCCGCCTCGCGGCACCAGATGGGATAGAAGAGACGAGGGTCACCTCCTTGGCTATAGATATTTTTGAACAGCGGCAGCGTCGTGGCAGGGCCCTCACGATGCCTGTCCCAGTCGTTGAAATGGTTGAAAGCGATCTCAGCGCACACCGAACGCCATGCCTTGTGCCGCTCACCATGCTCATCGTAGTTGACTTTCAAGGTGCGGGCGTCTTCTCCCGCAGAGGTGTCTTGGTGCCACCGTCCAACGCGCCATCAACTCGGCCCTCAACCGGCGACTACAATTGGTGCGGTTTGCGAAGGGTGCGGTTTGCCTCCCGTCTTATCTGCCCCTCCCGCCCCCAGGAAACGGATGACACTGTCACTCAATGCGACTGACTCACATGACACTGTCGCTCTTTTTAGTACACTGGAGCACACATCGAAGATGACAGTGCCGCTCGAAACGACGACAATTATCACAAAGACCCCGAAAAGGCCGCCACAAAGCAACTCGCAAACCGCACCCCGGCGTAACCGCACCGATTGTAGTCGCCGACTCAAGGCCGCAGCCGCCAGGAACGCCAACCTCCTCCTCGATGTATTTCGCTATCGTGGTGCGCGCCACGTCGAGGAAGGAGCCGACGTCGGCCAGCGGGACGCGCTTGATGGGCACAGGCCGCCGTCGGGTGTCCAGGGCCATCGCGTACTCTCCTGCCGTGTCCGCCTGCACCGCGCCAGACGTCTCTCGTCGGCATCGGATACTATCCGGGTATATGTGGCCGTCTGGCGTCGTGATGACCCACACGCCGGGCTGCACCTCTGCCAAAGCCAACCTCTCATGCCAATACTCGTCGTCCTCACACCACTGGGCAAACCTCCCTCCTGGCCGGATCTCACGCATAAGCTCCTCCTCCGGCACGACGTGGCCGAGGGACGAGAAGAGCTGGTACTTCCTCGACGACAGCATCCCGACGGCGGAAGTAGCCGATCACACGCGCGAGCACGTCCCTCACAAAGCCGCCCGCGAACGCCCAGAGGAGAGGCCACGAGCTCCACGCCGTCAACAGCCCAGCCACGAGCTGGGCCACCTGCTCCTCCACGCGGGCCGCCGCCGCCTGTATCTCCGCCAGCTTCTCGGGCACGAACTCGAGAGCCGCAGGGGCCCCCGGTGGGTCGGGCCCCGAACCCCCCGGCGCCGATGGGCAGTCAGGGCACACGAAGGTCGGGCAGACCGGCTGAGGGCAGCCCGTGCAGACCGGCGCCGGGGTGGAGGACCACAGCCCCAGCACCAGCAGACCATGCACCGCTGCCCCCGCCGCGGCTGCGAAGGGGGATCGCGGGGGGCCCATGCGAGCGAACCCGTGAAAGCTGGAGCAGATATATAGTGGAATGCAAGGGAGCGGATTCACGTCGTCATTTGGCCCCTCAAACCCGTGCCCGTCTGCAAGCATACTCCGCACTAACATGCACTGCCGTGTCGCATTGCGTTGAATTACGCTACATTTCAATGCGTTGCTGTGCATTGCTCTGCATTGCGTTGCATTGCGTGGCATTGCTACGCATTGCTCCCAATTGCCTCACATTGCCGTGCATCTTCGTGCGCTGCCTCGCATCGATTGTATTACGATGCATTGCAGTGCCTTACATTGCAATGCGTCTTACCCATTGCTGTGCATTGCTTTGCGTTGCCTTGCCTTGTTCTGTATTACCTTGCATTGCTGTGCTTGCATTCCATTGGTGTGCATTGGTGTGCATTGCGTTGCATTGATTTGCATTGCATGTCATTGCTTTGCATTGCCTCGCATTGGGTTACATTTCTGTGCATTGCAATGACTTGTAATGCTTTGTGTTGCATTGCGCTGCACTGATTTTCATGCCAACACATTGCTCTGCATTGCTGCGCATGGCGTTACATTGATTTACAGTGCGTTGCACTCCAATGCAATCGAATGCATTGCTTTGCACTGTGTTGTAATGCATTGCATTGCTATGCATACAGTGCATTGGCTTGCACTGTTTTGCATTGCTTTGCATTGAAATATTACGCATTGATTTGCAATGCATTGTGCTTGATTGCTTAGCAATACGTTGCATTGCAAATCATACAACGCAATGCTTTGCACTGTTTTGAATTGTGTTGCAATATTGCGTTGCTTTGCGTTGATGTGCAGTGCGCTGCATTGCTTAGCCTTACGTTTGCCTTGCGTTGCATTGCATTGCATTGCATTGCATTGCATTTCAATACCTTGCATTGCATTGCTCTGCATTCCAACGCATTGCTGCTGTGCATTGCAACGCATTGCCTTACATTGCCCTGCATTCCGTTGCTTCGCCCTGCGCTCTGCTGCCCCCGCGTGCGGACATAGGGCGGTGGGGCGGTGGAGCCAACACGTCTCCTGCACGACCAACAAGAATGGAAAATGAAAAATTTCGAAATCGCAGGGGGGGGGATTCGGCCCCTGATCCACCCTTCTCCTCCTCTTACATCTCCTTCTCCTCCTCCTCCTCCTCCCCCTCCTCCTCCTCCTCCTCCTCCTCCTCCTCCTCCTCCTCCTCCTCTTCCTCTTTCTCCTCCTCCTCCTCCTCCGCCTCCTCCTGCCCTCTCCCTCATCCCTCCTTCCCTCCTCTGCCTATCCCCCCCGTCTCCCCGAGACACTCGGCGCGTGGCGAATCGAGACAACGGCAGCTCAGAATCGGTCGCCGGGTCCCTCCCTCCCCGGGGGTCCAAACGCATCAGATTCCCGAGCTGCGTCCAGCCGCGGCGACGACTGGGCCCCCGAAGACCAGCCACTGCTGTCTCAGCTCGCCCCCCGCGGACTCCTCCCTCTCCGGAACTCCGCCGTCGTGTGCTGCAAGCGACATGGACCTTGGGAAATCTCGACCCCTTCCTGGAACGGACGACCCGTGATGACCTGAGCGGCGAAAGCAATGGGATCCTTGGCGAGAACCAGCGACTTTCTACTACGCGGATTACTCGGGCCGCCAGCGGCAAGTCTGCGCGCAAATGTCCGCGCAGTCGACCCCGTTTCTCTCGTCGCTCAGTTGTTATCACAGCTCTCCCTGAGCTGGTCTTATCCGCCAACAACTCGCAAACATACTACGCCAACCCCCCTCGGACTGTGCATGCCCAGTTTGGCGGGGCACCTCTTCTTCGGGGACGAACGCCATCAAAGCGCCCTGATGGCCTCTGCAGCGCGCCAAAGCATGACGACACTTGGCCAACAAAAACACGAGGAGCGCACGAGTGACAAACAGCCGAGCTGCGGAGTCTTCGAAGGAGGGATGGGGAGCAGCAGGGGGAGGAGGAGCAGGAGGAGGAGGAGGAGAAGGAAGAGAAGGAAGAGGGAGGAGGAGGGAGGAGGAGGAGGAAGAGGAGGAGGAGGAAGAGGAGGAGTGCACGAGGGCGTTGACACACGGCGCCCGAGCCTGGGCGGGAGCCGAGCCGAGCCGAGCAGAGCGGCAGCGGCGGCCCGGGCGTCCCGAGCGCGACAGGGGCCCGGGGCTCCCCGGGCTGCCGCCGCGGGCGCCGCCGCGGACGCCCGGCGGAGCCCGGACGGCGCGCCGCGGGGGCGACGGCGACGCCTCGGGGCACGGCGGCAAGCGGCGGACGGCCGACGCCGACGGAAGACGCCGACGGACGACGACGACGACGAACGACGACGGACGACGACGACGGACGACGACGACGACGGACGACGACGACGACGACGACGACGACGACGACGACGGACGACGACGACGACGACGGACGACGACGGACGACGACGACGACAACAACGATGACGACGACGACGACGACGACGACGGACGACGACGACGACGACGACAAAGACGACGACGACGACGGACGACAAAGACGGACGACGAAGATGACGACGACGCCGCCGCCGCAGCCGCCGACGCCGCCGACGACGACGGACGACAACAACGATGACGACGACGACGACGATTCCCGACGACGACACCGCCGCTGACGCCGACGACAACGACGGACGACAAAGACGACGACGACGACCACGACGACGACGACGACCACAACGACGACGACGACGACGACGACGACGACGACGACGGACGACGACGACGACGACGACGACGAACGACGACGACGACGACGACGACGACGACGACGGACGACAAAGACGACGACGTCGACGACGACGACGACACACGACGACGACGCCGCCACCGCCGCCGACGACGACGACAACGGACGACGACGACGACGACGACGACGACCAGGACGACGACAACGAGAATGACGACGACGACGACGACGATGACGGACGACGACGACGACGAAGACGACGACGACGACAACGACGACGAACAAACAAGACGGACAACGACGACGAACTACAAAGACGACGACGACGCCGCCACCGCGGACGACGACGACAACGGCGACAGACGACAACGACGGACGACCACGACGACGACGACGGACGACGCCGCCTTGCTGACAAAGGCGACGACTACGATCACGAAGATGACGACGACGATGACGACGACGGACGACGGCGGACGACGACGACGACGACCAACGACGACGATGACGGACGACGGACGACGACGACGACGGCGATGCCGCAGCCACCGACAGCGCCGACGACGCCGCCGCCGACGCCACCAACGACGACCCCGATCACGACGAACGACGACGACGACGACGACGACATGGCGACAACGGCGACGGCGAAGGGCAACGACGACGACGACGGCGACGACGACGGACGACAACGAAGGCGACGACCAGGACGACAACGAAGACAACGACGACGACGGACGACGACGATGACGGCGGACAACTCAGACGACGACGACGACGACGACGACGACGACGACGACTGACGCCGCCGACGACGCAACCGATAACGACGCCGACGACGACGACGACGGGCGACGCCGCCGCCGACCACGCCGACCACGTCGACGACGGCGGACGCCAACGATGACGACGACGACGACGACGAAGAAAAGGCCACCGCCAACGAGGACGAGGACGACGACGGCGGCGACGACGACGACGACGGACGACAAAGACGATGACGACGACGACGACGACGGACGACGACGACGGCGACCACGACGACGACGACAAACGACGACAGACGACGACGACGACGACGACGACGACGGCGACGACGACGACGACGACGACGACGACGGACGACGACGACGACGACGACGACGACGACGACGACGACGACGACAAAGACGACGACGACCACAAAGACGACGGACGACGACGACGACGATGACGACGCCGCAGCCGCCGACGCAGCCGACGACAGCACCCGACGACGACGGACGACAAAGACGACGACGACGAGGACGACGACGACGACGACGGCGACGGACGTTGACGAGGTCGACGACGGACGACAACGACCAAGACAACGACAACGACGACGGCGACGACGATGGACGACGACGACGACAACGACGACGGACGACGACGACGACGACGCCGCCGCCGCCGACGACGACGACGGCGGACGACGGCGGACGACGAGGCCGCTGCCGACGACAGCGGGCGACGGCGGACGACGACGCCGACGCCGACGACGACGGACGACGGACGCCAACGGACGACAAGACGACGACAGTGACGGCGACGACGGACGAGAACGACGCTGCCGCCGCAGCCGCCGACGACGACGCCGACGACGATGGACGACGACACCGACGCCGAGACCGACGCCGACGGCCGACGACGACGACGACGACGACGACGACGACGACGACGGATGACGACGACGACGACGACGACGACGACGACGGACGACGAGCGACAACGACGACGACGACGACGGACACCGACGACACTGCGACGGACGACGACGACGGACGACGACGTAGCCGACCACGGCGACGCCGCCGCCGCCTTAGCGGCCGCCGCCAAAGACGACGACGACGACGACGACGACCACGAGGACGACGACGGACGACGACGACGACGACGACGGACGACGACGACGACGACAGGGCAACCGCCAATGACGACGACGACGGACGACGACGACAACGACGACGACGGACGACGACGACGGCGACGACGACGACGACAACGTTGACGGCGAAAGACGACGACGACGACAACGACGGACTACGAACGACGAACACGACGCCGACGACGACGACGACGACGACGACGACGACGACGACGACGACGACGACGGACGACGACGACGACGACGAAGACGGACGACGACGACGACGGAGGACGACGACGGACGGCGGACGACAGACGACGACGGACGACGACGGACGACGACGGCGACGACGACGG